AGTGTTGTAATTGTAAAAGTGTTTGTATCAATATTTTAATTGCTTTTTCTTTTCCTTATAATTATTATAGTGTTTATGGTGTAGTATCGTATTTAACATAGAATAAACATGGAATTAAGAGTACAATAAAAAAAATAAAAAAATAAAAATTAGTAAAAAAATATATAAAATTAATTATATAACCCTTTTTGGTTACTAACGACTCATATAAGGGTTGTTCGTAGGAAGGCCCAAAGTGTACTGAGCGACCCCTATGCAAAGGGTCGTGCAAAGGTCTCTTTACTAACCCTTATAAGAGGTCCTATCTTATTTCATTAATTAAAATTACAAATGTAAAATATTTCAATAAATATTCTACATATTATTATTATTATTATTATTATAATTATAATTAATTGGTAATACGAACTTGAAAGTTCATTGCTGCAAATAGTTTTAATAATAAAAATAAATTACTAAGATTAATAAGATACTTATTAAATATGAAATATATCGTAACGAAAAAGGGATTATATATTAATAATAATAATTAAAAAAAAAAATAAATAAATACTTACCGGACGTGTACAACACGCGAACAACGACATATTGGAGAGTGCCAGCTTCGTTGTTATACTTATCGCCGGTTACCGTTGAAAAATCAGTTGTTGACGTTGCTGTCGGTGCGTAGAAATTGATCTTCTTTCGATCCCACCGTTGTGATGATCCCCCTTTTTTTTTCTTCCCCTTTTCTTCTTCTTTTTTGTTTTAAATTTAATTTTTTTTTTTTTTTCAAATTTTATCGAATATCTTTTTTTTTCTTTTTTTTTTTTTTTCCCCCGTCAAATTCGCGCCGAAACTTTTCTATCTATATCTATACAATCTATCTATCTATATCTATATCTATATCTATCTATGTATCTATCTCTGTTTCACTTTCCCTTTTCGTTTCTCCTTTCCCTCTCTAATCTCGCGTAACACGAGATGAAAATTTCCTTCGTACGTCCGTACGAGGCTGTATCGCGTAGATAACTGGACCGCCTTCTAACGTGCTTTTGCGCATGCGTATTTCAAACGGTTCGTTCTACGCGCGCAGATCTATTTCTATCTCTCTCACTCTCACTCTGTCATTCTTTCTCTCTCTCTCTCTCTCTCTCTCTCTCTCTCTCTCTTTCTTCCATACACTTTTACAACATGTAACAATAACGCTCGACTACTTTAAAATTACTATTTCATCTTAACGATCATCTCCAATTCTATTCAAAATGGTTCCATTAAAAGACGCGGGAAAATACAAAAGACCGCGTAACATTTGAAAAGTTTCAACCAATCGAATTGATTCCAACGAATCACGTAGTACTTTACGTTGTTTCTTTTATTATTTTTATTGGATAAAGTGTAATGGTAGTTCGTTTGTTTGAATGATATGATATTCTACCTTTTGAAATGTGTGTGTGTGTGTTTTTTTTTGTTCTTTCTCGTTGCAATTTGGTTGTTATTATTCGATGAAACAGATTGGATGGTAATTTTAAAGGTTAATGGGCGATAAAGAAAGAAAATCGTTTCGGTACTTCGTCGTTTGCCACGTTCGCGTTTGGTTGTTATAACGTTCAAGATAAAACGTGAGAGGATAAAAAGTAGAAGTAGAAAAAGAAGAAGAAGAAGAAGAAGAAGAGGAAATAATAAAAGGAGAAACGCGACAGGGTTTGGTTATTCTTTTGTTTCGATCGTAGTACTGAAGCAATCGAGGGAATCCAATAAAGCAAAACGTTCAAACTTGATTGCCAAACGAGGAGTATTCCTTTTCTTTATGTTTGTCTACTTCATTGTTTTCCTTGAATATTTGATTTATCAGATTACCATCGTTCCAGTTATCGTTAAAAAAACCATTTCTACAATTTTTAGACGACAGTATGTTTGAATTGTTCACGTTTGATTACATTTATCTTTCTTTTCATTTTGTTTTTTTTTTTTTTTTACATTTGTATCTTGCAAATGTTACAATCTATGATTTGTCAATTATTTTTCGATTCACATAACTTTCAAACTTTTTATTTATTGTGTTATTTAATTACACACACACACACACATTATGAAGATTTAAATTATCTTCCTTTGTAGAAAACGATTTTAATTTGATAACTTTTCTTTACTTTTAAGTACGATTTCAAATTAGCGGCAATAATTATCGACTGTTCAGCTGGACGTATGCATCTAGCGCACTCTGCAGAACGTTCCCGGAAACTTGTTGTATTATCAAACGAGTAATGGAATTGTTGTTACCGACTTAACATTTATGCATCATTTTTGTTTTAATTTATGGAGAGTACACATTGCTGTTTATCAATGTTAATTATCAAGGTAATATTTTATTATTAATAATATATTTATGTGTTTTATATGAAAACAATTGTATCAATATAAGATAATAGGTAAATCAAAGTCGCGATTTATTTTATCGACAGTAAAAGTATGACCAACATAAATTATATCGATAATCAAATCTTATGAGAATTTATAGATCATTTTTTTTTTTACACGTTTGACCTCTTTATCAATTTAATTATACTATTTTTGTTCAAGAGCATCTATTACAAAAATAACACATAATCAAAGTATCACCTAACCTATTTTTCATTATATCATATGATTTGAAAAAAGCAAAAAAAAAAACGATGTTCACGATCAAAGAAAATATTAAAACAATAAATATGGGTCATTGATAGAAAAAAATAATCAGAGAAAATATATATATATAGACAAAATATCTAGGACAATTTGAAATGAAAATTTTCCAAAGGAAATTATTTATATAACGAATAAGAACGAATGGTTGTCACATTTGACTATGTTTTTTAAGGTTCCTTGTCTGAAATTGAATTGGAAACGTTAAGAATGTAATCGAGTTGTTTCATAAGATTCGGGAGAATGCATTAACGTTAGAATAGCGGTCATTAACGTGTAAACCTTTAAGAAGGAAGAAGACAGGACGAATAAGAATAAGAATGAAAATGAGAATGAGAAAGAGGTGGATGAAGTGGAGGAGTTGGAGGAGTTGGAGGAGAGAAGTAGGAGAAGAATCGTGAGTAAAATTCTAAAGAGACTCGTGACGAAGAAAGGAAAGGCAGCAGAAATGTAAAATGGAATGTGGATGGATAATGAGTAGTGAATAGAAGCGTGTGAAAACGATTATAAGCTAAGATAATCAAACGTTTACGGTACTTAAACAAAAATTTTCTGCACATCCGCCATTTTCTTCAACGATTTCATTACAATAATATTCCATTTTGTTATATACATTTTCTCTACATTGATTTCAATCGATTTCCCTTTTCTAAAACTTTACTTTTATTTTTATTTCTAAACTTTCCTTTTACACATTTCAATATATATATATATTATATTATTTTATTATTTTATTAAGTATTAAAATATAATATATATTTTTTTATAGATATTACTATGTATATATAATATTATATAGTTAGTATAATAGTAATATAATATAGTAATAAAATAGTAATATAATATAGTAATATAATATAGTAATATATTATAGTAATATAATATATATAATAAATAATATATTAATAATAATAAAAATTAATATTTAAAAATATATATATATATATATAGTAAAAATTAAGTGTATATTATACAGTTATTATAAAAGTACTACACTAGTGTAGAGAAGTACTACTAATCAAGATTGAAATCTAAATTATCGATTTTCTTTATTTATTCTATTTATTCTATTTATTCTATTTAATATACTTTTACATTACCTTGATATTTACTCTCGATGATAGTTCTTTCTTCGTATAACCTTGAATCGTTCTACGCATTGTTTTACTATCCTTCAACATCTCCCCCTTCCCTTCTCTACTTCTTGTTTTCCTCCATCTTTTTCTTCTCCTCCTCATCATTCTCCTATTGCCTTCGTAAAACTTAACGGAGATTCGTAAAAGGGAAACTGTTCTTTTATAGGCGTATATATGAAACAGGTGCGTACATCAAACTTCAATCACATACCTTATTTCTATTATTTATCGTACTCTTTATTCTATTTATTATATCTATTATTATTACTTTTTCTAATACAGTTTAAATTTTCAATGAAGATTTAATTTTTTATATTTATACATGGGATAAGAATTCTTAATTAATTATTCGATTATTATAAGAATCTTTGTGAGGAGTTTGTTTGATTACAATCAGGATAATTTACGTTATAATTACTTGTATAATTAAATCGAGATTAATTTATACATTATCGAAATTCTATGTCAACGATCGATTATCAGGTCACATGGTACTAAAGCGCCACCAAGTGGTCGAGTTTCCAATTAAATTTGAAAGTACAACCACCTGACACGTTAGACATAATTAAATAAACTTTACTTATTATACTTTCTTATTCCTAAAAATAAGTTTGTTCAGATTACACGTGTGTTATTTAACATGAAAAATAATTAATAAACTTCGATAAACAATAAATAAATTAATTCGATCAATAATCGATCCTAAAAACGTGTATAAATCATTAAAATAGATCGTTAAACAAATCTAACCTGTCAATTATACTTTTTCAATTCAAATTCAAATGTCAATAATAATTAATAATTTCATTTGTTTCTATAATAATACATAATTATATAATAATCCATTTCAATCAATAAATAATAAAATTATCCTAATCGATTCTAGATTTCAGTTCTAATTATAGTTGAGAATACTACAAATGGATTGTGGTGGTGGATGATAATAGAATGAGTGTCACTAGTAGAGAAACGTCACTCAAGTTGTTCGTAATAATATAGTGGATCGATTAATCGATCAATAAGAATAAAATGGCAGGAGTATGCAGCAGGTGGTACCAGTTACTCGTGGTTACGGTCCTGATCCAGTCCAGGCTGCCGGGAGGCCTTTCAACTCGATTCGTGTATACCCTGTACACAGTGTCCGACAAGGTGTGGTTCTAGACGCGTCGAACGGTGGCTATATTTTTCTATTTCTCTCTCTCTCTCTCTCTATTTATTTATTTTTTATTTTTTTTTAATCCTCCTAATATTTCATTCGTAAATCGCACGAACGTGCGACGAAGATAACACGAGGAAGACGAGTTATCTTCCCCCCACCACCACACCTCTTTCTTTCTCTCAATATCCTCGCATAACTTAGCGCGTATTTCCCCAACCCCCCACTCCTCCATCTTTCTTTCACTCCTTCTCCTCCTCCTCCTCCTCCTCCTCCGTCTCCTTCTCCTCCTCCCTGCCACCTTCATTTTTCTTTTTTTCTTTTCCTTCTCATTTAAACGAGTATTCAAGAAACTTTTCGTTAAGACGCGCGCGCTCGTGTGGAGACACTTTTTTTTTTTTATATTCTGCGTATATAAGTTAATTCAAAAATTCTCGTAGTACATTTCGATTTTGCATATCGATATAATAATCGATATATTATCGATAAGTAGAAAAATAACATGGAAATATTGTTAGGGGAGTAAATAGAGAAAAATAAAAGACGTTTTACGCGTATATATGTAACAGTAGACATTTTGTTTTTGTTTTTATATCGAAGGAAAGAAGAAGATATCGAAAAAAGAAGAAGAAGAGTTAAAAGAAAAAAAAAAACAAACGTGCACTTGATTCATTGTTATTATGTTCGCCATCTTGTCGAGTTTAACCGGCGCGAAAAATCATTTCGTACAACATCGTTGAGTGTTTCAATAAACAACAATTTGTTTCTTATGTCAGTTTTCAAAAAACAAAAAAAAAAAGATCGTTGATTTATTTGTAATCGATAAAAATAAATCTTTGAGTGATCAAAAAGAATATCCACAACAAAGTGTGAAAAAGTTTGAACTTACGTGTGGATTGAAGAAAATCTAAAAAAAAAAAAAAAAAATAAAGGAAGAGGATACCGGCTGGCTAGGTGGATTTTTCCTGTCATTTCGAAGGATTTTATTTTTGACAAACGGATAGATTCAACAAACTCTCTCTCTCCTCTCTTCACAAATAGTTTCTTCTTCTTTTTATTTCACTCACATACACACTAGATATAAAACTCGAATCACTGTAAAAGAAAGAAGAGACATACTTATCGGTGAAAACCAGCTGTTATCTTCGAATCATGAAGCTACGTAAGTCATATTTGATTTATTTTAATATTATAAACTGCATGACGATTATTTTTTGTAAATTTACAAATTTATTTTAAAAATATTAATTAAAAAAAAAACAACAACAACAACAACAAAATTAAACATTAAAAATACGCAAACTTTTGGTTCAGCCAACAAAATTGTATATTTTTATTTTGATTATGATCGCCATTTTGAAACATGTCAATAACAAAGTAATTACAAGAAGACACGTTGAGCAATATTTGTTTATAAATATTGTTGTATATATTTCGTGTTGTGTTCGATAGTATCGAAGAGAAAGGTGTGTTGTATGTTTATCGTGTTATACGGTGAAATACTTTTCATTTTTTTTTTATTTTCCTTCCCCCTTTTCCCCTTTCTCTTTCTTTTTTCCATCCGTTTCCCCTACTTGTTTCCCTTTCTTCGCGTTAAGATTCGTTGAAGCGTCGATGTATCCCTCTTTCTTGTTTTTTTTTTTTTCTTTTCTTTTTCTATCTAGAATCGTGTTACAACGCTTTGAGAAGTAGTAGAAGTAGAAGAAGAAGAAGAACAAGTGGTATTCGGATTCATTCGTGCGTAATCGAGAGAGGAAAGCGTGATCATTGAAAAATAATCTTTTTCAAACGTTTTCCACTATCTCCAAGACTTTGATCTATCTTTTTTTTCTATTATTTTGTTAGTTTTATTTTGAAATTTCAAAGTATAATATACATCATTTTTTTGTCTATGAAACATTTCACAGATAAAGTACACTCTGTGACAATGCGCAAGTTTTTTTTTTTTTCTTTGACTGTACCAATCTTGAAATAATTCTAATTATCATTCCTTTTTAGGATTAATTTGTCATTTCTTTGGTTTTATTTTTTTTTTTTTTTTTTTTTACTTCAGAATCGTAATTCTAACCTCAAAGATAAATTGTTTGTGCTAGATTTGAAATTTTCTTTAGATTTTCTTTTCTTTTCTTTTCAATCATAATTGTAACCTCAAAGTGTACTAGATTTTCAATTTGTTTTCTTTTCTTTTTTTTTTATTCGTGTTTGAATTTACGATTGTAAAATGCATCACCATAACGGTACTCTCGATACAACACTGAAGTTCAATTTCTACGAATGTTAAAATTGTACGAAGCTTTTTATGGCATTGTTACATTCATCCTAACATTATTATTATTATTATTATTATTATTATTAGCATAATTATAATGTTATATTTCCTTTTTGGGTTTGGTTATTTTTACCATAATTACTTTTCCATTACACGGAAGTAATTTAATCATTTTTATCATAATTAGTTAAACAATATATTGAATTATATTTAAAAATATAATCAATAATAATAATAATTTATTTATCTTGTTATTTATACGAAAATATTCGTTAAGTTTGAAATAAGTCACGTGATTAACTAACCTCTAAGTAGGACAATAAAAGCCCGCGAAATTTGAAAAAATTTGAATACGCACGAGTGCATAGAAATCACAAATGCTGCTATCTTTTCGATTGAAACGTAAATGTTTTTTTTTGATATTCGTGTAA